ATGGTTTTTTTTTTGATTTCGCATTTTTCCACTTTTTTCAATTTCTTGAATCTTCGAATATGAAAGGTCTGAAATTACTTGATTGTTTTGTTATGGTCTTGAATCCGTAAATAACAAGGTGAATGATTACTATTTCGTTAATAACAAGGTGAATGGTATAGCTAACTACAAAATATAACTATAGAACTAAATCAAAGCAATGTTTTACATAGTAAACTATTTTTATTATACATATTGAATAACTAACTATTCGTATATAACCAGTTAACTATTTTAGTTAACTATATTTAATTATAAATATTATTTAGTTAACTATCTTGATAAACATAGACTAAAAGGATATACAATTGTAAATATTATATAGTTAACTATATTATTACAGTTGAATTAATTATTGTAAAGATTATATAGTTCACTATATTATTATTTGAATAGCTAATTACAACAACATAAAAAGTAAAAATATAGTCAACTATACAAAGTAGATTTTTAGCTAACTACAGCAATATAGAAAATATAAATATCGTCAACTATACAATCTCTCATTCCTTTCGAGATCCGCCGTCTACAATAACATAGAAAGTAGGAATATAGTCAACTATACAGCCTTTTGAGATCAATGTTGGAATTTTAGCTAACTACAAGAACATAAAAAGTAGAATTATAGTCAACTATACTGACATATGAGATAACTGAATCAAAAAATGATTTGCATCAATCAAGATCCATCTCGATTTTTCTTTCCTTCAAGAGTGATTAATTCTGTAAACAAAAAAAAAGGGTGAAGCTGTCGGCGTGAACAAATTTAGGAATTTTTACTAGTTTTCTTGAAATAAATGATTTTGACTACTTTCTTTAATATTAGATTTTGACTACTTTCATTAATCTAAGTTTTTGACTTATTTTTTACCATTTTCCTTTCTTAATTTTCGCAGGGCAATTTCGTCCAACTTTTTGTTCTTTCTGCTATAAACCTAAATCTTATTATGCATATGTTAGTTTCCTAATTATCTACTCCAAAACTAATATTAAGCTAATTAACCCAAGAAAAATAGTGTAACATTAATGAACACAATTGGAGAAGAATCAGAGATGTTTAGAATCATTCGTGCCTCATCCATATCTCTCTTATCATGTCCCCATGAATTATTTAACATGGACCACATTTTTAAAATCATATAAACTATGGTTTCAGCTTTGTCTCAGTCATAGATCTTTTTCTTCTCCAGAGAGTGCATGAATTTCGAACGTAAGTTTATATGTCTTTCTTATTTTCAAGAGATTGTTTGAATATGTTTGTGTTATTGATCTTATGATGAACAAAGT